GTGGGGGGGAGTTGAAACGGGGGCGGGGGGGGGGGGCATCCCGTGCCAACCCGGCCCGGCCGTCTCTCATGATTTGTTTGTGGTCCGTATGTTGAATGGGAAGCCCCCCCTCGCCCCTGCCCTCCCCCCTCTGATGTAATGATCCCTTCACTTCCTAAAGCACTCAGCCATGACCGTCGCCTTTCTCCCAGCATCCTCCACCGCTGACCACCGTCGACATTTACATATGTAAAACTACATCCCCACCCACCCCCGACCGACCCCGCCGTCAGCCTGTCTGAGCCCTCGACGATCGGCGGTTGCTCTAAAATTCCAGCAAATAGACAAGGCCTGATGTCATCGTTTATCCTTGGCGTTAGAAGCGCTTCAACATCCTGGTTCTCATGACGATGCCGATAGGTCAGGTCAGGGACTCGAGTGACATGACTCGACTCAAGTCAGATTTGAGTCACCAGTTTTTGGTCTTGGGACTTGCTTGGGTCAAGTAGCCATTCAGTGGAGAATCGGATGACTTGAGTTGCGACTCGACGCCGCTTGACTTGCTCCATTTCTGACACAGTAGCTTGGGGACTCGCTTTAAACTACAAGCTGGAAAATCTGGCGACTGGTTTGACTTGGTTGCACGTACCGCACGTAATTTCTGTCTCAGCCGTGAGCCGAAAAGGAGCTCGTATCTCCCAAAATAAAAAGCAGAAAAAGACCCATGGAACATCTCTCTCTCTCTTTCTCCCTCTCTTTCTTTTTTCCGTTTACACGACTGCCACTGCCTTGTAAATGTAGACACCATCATTTATTCGAGCCCTGGCTTTATTTTCATTCAGGGATTATTTTTGGAAGTGCATGTTTGATTCAAGGAAAGTCGCCCACAGTGAAGACAGGCCTGCCTTCCGTTCCCTTCAATTTGTTATATCATTTGAAAAAGTGCATATGTGCACTTAAAACATTAGCTTTGGGCTAGTTAAAAATGCGGGGAGGATTTTTCTTGAAAAAGTGATTTTCATCACTTTACGTTTTTCTCCCAAAAAAACTTTGTAACTTTGTCCTCACAAAAATATTATCATGACTTTGTTTTTTGTTTTTTTCTTTGTAACGTTTTCATTCCTCTGGCATTCAAGCATACACGTGGCAGTTACCTTTTAATTGCCATTCGAGGATTTGTGCTCTGAAAAGGATTTCAGGAGCTCAGCCCACCGCATCAGGCCAATATTCCGCATCAGCGCTTGCGCTCGCTGACTTTGTGTACACGCCGAGGGATGTTTGCAGGGTGTGATCTCTCAAAGCGGGATAAACGCTCTAGAGTTATTGTTGTCGATACCCAGGAATCACGCACTACGAGCCCATAGGGAGAACAAACAAAAAACATTGTTGGTTCATTCATGTGGTCCTCTTTGCCTGAACAGAATTGCATTTTCTTGAAGCAAGCCCTTCTAAAATGGTCAAGCGCTTTCACTTTCGGGCCACACATGCTTGCTGCTCGTCTGTTTTTTTGTGAATGAAGCGCAATGTGCAATTATCCGGACTGCCTCTCCCCCTCCGCCTCCACACACACAAATGCAGGTACACACCCACAGAGATTCCAGACACACATATGAATGAATGCACCCCTCCCCCCAGCTGGAAGTGCACAGCTGCTGCTGTTTACCCTGCCGGGACCAGAAAAACATCCTGTACGCGTCTTGGACCGAAAGCCTCCCCTCACATAATAAACACCAGCCCTCGGCACAGCTTGAAGCTTCACTTGGGATGTTTTTCTTTTGCTGGGGGGTTGGCATTTGAAAGTTCCACCAGGAGCACCCCTCATCCCACTCTAGCTTTTCCTTTGATTGACAGCTTGATTTGAGTGTGCAGATATGAGGCTTCCCTATCGTGGCCATATCAGCTGACGTGTCCGCTAAAAGTCGACATCTGCATGCAAACAGGAACAAATTCCCATTTGGTGTGCGTGTGTGCGTGAGTGTGGACAATTGGCACGCAGGTGTGACGTTTGCTTTCGTGGCAGACATGTTTAGCTTTGAGGAAGTTTGCTGTTGTGTCTGCAAGAGTCAAGGCAAAGTGAGCGAGGAGACTTTGGCCTGGAATGTGACCATGTGTTTGCTATACACACACACACACACACACACACACACACACACACACACACACACACGCAAGCAAGCAATGTGTTGCATGTGAAAGACGTTCAAGTGCTTGAATGTAAATATCCTGCCCTTGTGTATTTTGCCTCTGTGTATAATCGTACTCGAGTGACACCAGACAAAGGACTGGTGTGTTGACATATGACAATAAACTCTTCAGGTCCCTATCAAGGAAATATAAATTTGCAGTGTCAAATTGAAACGCCGCAGAGTAGCGCTTGACTTTGGCTTGCTGTTGACCCAATGCATCCAACGCGGAGTGATAACAGTACACTTTTTCAAAATGAAAATACCTTTGCAAGCTGGCGAAATGTTGACTTCAAGTACAAATGCCAAGGTCAAAGGTCCTAAAAATGTTTCATCTGTTGTCTCAATAACCGGAAACATTGCGAAAGCATTTTGACAGCGAACGTCCCGCTCCTTTTGAAGCGCCGTGCTAACCGTGCGTCTTTTGTCTCTCCTGCGCGTTGATAGCGGTGGCCTTTCACAGTCCGCCCGTCACCATCAAGAAGGAGCCGCAGAGTCCGGGTTCGGACCCCAGCCAGTCGTGCAGCCACAAGCCCAACTTTGGGTACGTCGCCAATGGAGAGCAGTGCCTTTATGCCGGGTAAGCATCGGAACATAGCCTTTGGCCTCCAAAACTCTCGTCGCAATGTTCTAGTCCCAAGGGAAGGTTTTTGGACCATTTTCACGTGTAGAGTTCGGCATTCAGTGAGACTGCTCTGCCTTTGCTGTGAGCTCGGGGGCATGAAAAAAGGTGCTTGTTTGCGAGTCTCCGTTCATAATGCCGTGACGCTATATCTGGAGTCTGTTTGCGTGTCATCCGCAGCGCCTATGAGCAGAAACGGGCCGGCGCCGGGGTGGCCAAGCGCCCCTGCCCGGGCACCCCCTTGTCGCCCATGCAGCAGCACTACTCGCCCAAACCGGCGGCGGCCGGCCGGCCCGATGCCGGTTACATGAACCCCGCTGCCGCATCGCAGCCGCTGCCCAGCAACACGTACCCCCTCAATGCCAGGTGAGTGAGCCCGAAATTTGGTGGGCCGCCCGTGTGAGTTTCAAGTCGGAAACGTCAGTCTTTTCTCTCACTTGCAGATATCAGGGCCATTCGGGAGACCCCCTGGGCCCCCAGTTCCCCGCACCATCGCAGGCCTTCCAGCGAATGCCCCCCGCCCCGGCGGGCCACGGCTGCGGGGCCGGCGGCTACCACCGGCAGCACTCGGACCCCTGCGTGCCCTACCTGCAGCAGAGCTTCAAACAAGAATATATGGACCCCCTCTATGAACGGGCGGGTCAGGTGGGGGCGCATGGCGCGGGACCGGGGCATGGCCGCGGGCCCCACGCGCCCCAGCACTCGCACCTGCACCCGCACAGGTTCCCGCCGGCACATATGATGGTCAAGCAGGAGCCCGCAGACTACACCTACGACGCAGGTGAGAAGCAAGGACATGAGGACGGTGGCCCTTTAAGTTCAAAAACAAGAAAATACATGCAAATCTTAAAAAGGAGTGTCAGGGCCAAATTGGGAAAAAAAAAACTGCTCAATCTCACGAGAAAAACATCTGAGAATAAAAGTATACCTCATATTTTTTTTTATTTTAATCCCCAAAACGCTTTTCTCGAATAAAATAGTTTTTTGAGAATAGCCTTTATGTTTCTAGACAAAAAAATCTGGATGCTTTTCCCAAAAAAATCTTTTTTTTCTCAGCTTTATTCTTAAAATCCTTAATCTCTAATTAGGGCGGGGGGGGGGGGTTCGGGGGTTTTTTTAACTACAAAACAAACTCATTTGGATTTTGAGCAAAGTGAGCATCTTGAGCGTTCACACTGAAGTGTTTTTGGTGGGAAAAAAAAGGCAAAATAAATCCTCGTGAGGCAAAACCTCAAGCTTCCCCCCCGCCTCCCCTTCATTTTATGTCGTCTCAGCCATCTGTGGAACAAAATGTCCGTGTAAAGAAGCAAACTTTTTCTCCCTGAGCCACGGGACTCCTCCTCCGCTTCACTCCTTGGACATTCAAGAGTGGGGGGGAGTTCTTTTCTAGCACATTCACACCTTCCCCTTCCTGCTTTCCAAAGTCTTCCCTCCCCGCTCTCCCTGGATGCGGTGGAGGAATTTCATTGAGAAAATGGAGGGCAGAGGAAAGACTAGAGTCCCCGGCGGAGGCTGCAGGGTTTCACGTTGCACCGGCGGCTTCCTTTCGCTGCAGCCCCATCAACTCCTAATGGAAAAGTGAGCGAGGCCGCGGTAACCCGAGCCTCTCGCGAAGGGACGTGGGGGGGGGCATTTGGGTATGAAGGAGTTTTGAATCGGCTCTTAAATGCAAAACCAGTCCCCCCACCCCCCAAAAAACGGGAAAGAAAACAAAAAGAAATGTAAGACTTGGACCCGACGACCACAATTCAACGCTGGTTAACCCCCCCCGGGCCAATTGTTGGTGCCGCCAACTCATTCGGAGGTGACACAGAGATAGGGGGAAAAAAAATGCAACGTTTTGAGAAAATGATGAATAATTGTTGAAATGGAACAAACCGTCGGGTCACTTGCGTAGGCGCGCGCGCACTCGATGGCATCTTATCGAGAGCGTTGCATTCCGCCGCATTGACTCACTGCTGCACCTTTTGTGCGTATTATGCTGCCTTGTTTTTGTTCCTAGGACTCACGCACACACACACACACACACACACACACACACACACACAGTGTCTCCTGTTTCCCTGCATGGTTTTTATTGGTTTTCTTAAGCTATCAGACTCCACACCAATTTGAGAGTTTGAATCAAGCTTCCATTTGACATGTTGGTAGATGTGTCCGGATGCCCTTCAATGTACCATCACCGTGAAGCCTATCCGACCTCCCAGCCGACCCCTGAAGGTAAAGCAAGGGTTGCTCCTCAAACACTTTCAAACTGACACTTAGTTGACTTTTATTGTTTTGCAATCCGAATGGGGTGTAAAGATTCACTCCCTTCGGCCAGGTGTCTACCTAGACACACTTTTATCAAATTTTCCAAAGGAATTGGTTTACTAGTTTTTCCAAAGAGAATTTTTTTCCCCCCCTAATAAAAATGTATTTTTTTTCCTACAACATGAAAAAACAGTTCTTAAAAAAAACACTTTACAAAGAAAATTTTTAAATGTGGAAAAGAAATTACTGCAAAAAAAGCGCCTTTTCTCCCCCCCCCCACTCCCAAATTAACTTTTTTCTTTTTAAATGACAAATATTTTTTTAACCATTTCACAACATTTCCCCCCCTCACGATTATCCACCTTTTTCTGGATGTTTGCATAGGCTTGTCCCTCTTCCTGTTGAGCCTGACAGTAGTTTTTCATATGTGCGACCCTTAAGGTGTCTTCTGTCGGGAGCTCCTTGCTCCCTTTTTAAACTGCAAGAGGTTCTCCTTGATTCTCGAGAGCCTCTTCTTGTTGTTGTTGTTGTTCTTTTGTGACGCACTGACGCTAACACAAATGTGCTTGTTGTTGTTGCTGTAGGTTATGGGTTCGAGAACGACTCCCGCGTGGTCCCGGAGAAGTTTGAAGGTGAGTTCTGTCTCAGAAGGAAACGCAAGACGCCAGACTTGACGTCGAGTGGCTTTTGTTTCAGCGTGAGAAGTAGTCACTGATGGTGCGGAGCGCCTCAGGGCGCTGACGTGTGCCCCTTCTCGCCGGTTGCGCGTCTCGCATTTCCACACTTTTGTTTACGGCGTACAATCAACCTCCGTCTGCTAATATGGTTTCGTGCATGTCAATATCCCCTTGTTTGTCTTCAAGCGGAACCGGATGAATGCTGTGCGTTTGGTACCTTACTTGATTTAATCCACATTTTAACACAGCCAAGACCACGTCACAATTAAGGAATGCAATATAACAGTATGCTACTGTGATACGTAAAGTAAGGCATTAAAAATGAGACACAACACAGAAATGTTTGGAAGGACATGACAACTTTATTCCTTTGGTTATTTAAAAAAAAAACCCCAACAACCAAAATAATTTGCTGCAGTCTAGGGGGCACCGTGGTAGGAAAGACCCCCTTTAAAAATATCCTCCATCTTTTTGATGAATCAGCATGTGGCCCCCTCAAAGTCATTTTCACGACTGTTGTCTTCTCCGCAGGCGAGATGAAGCAGGAAGCGGGCGGCAGCGGTGGCGGCGTATTCCGCGAGGGAACGCCTTACCAGCGGCGAGGCTCGTTGCAGCTGTGGCAGTTCCTGGTGGCCTTGCTGGACGACCCCGGGAATGCGCACTTCATCGCCTGGACCGGCCGGGGGATGGAGTTCAAGCTTATCGAACCCGAAGAGGTACATGCAACCCCGTGCACTTTCCAAAACGCCAAAAGATGATGCCAAAGCCCCGGTGAACAGGAAAGTAGTCATTGTCATGAAACAAACACATCAAGTCCGTTCACAGCATTTTACGGCCAAATAAGCTATTCAAACAAAAAACTGTCGCCGCCACCACCACCACCAAAGAGTGAGTTGTGTTCTAGTTGTAATTGTGCAATTAGCAACGTGGTTATGAGGGGGCATCCATTTGGGGTGGGTCCAAACACTGCTGCGCACTTCCATTATGTTTTCACAAGGCATTAAAAATGTACGAGTGCAATTAGAGCCACGTAGCACTGAGCCATCGCACAAACATGAGGCTGGAAGACGCAGTGCAGTACTCCCACCATTTTGAACAAAATATGGTACAATTTTTTTTTTAAATAATGAAATGATTTGTACATGATGTAAACTGAGGCTATTTCTTTTTTTAAAACACTGTATTGTAAGGCATTTGTAAAATGACGAATGTAGTCAGCCCTGCTACTAAATTGGCACTTTGGCTGGATTAAAAAAAAAAAAAAAAAAAAGAAAAGAAAAACTGCAATTTTTGGACCAGTTTAAATGTGAACATTTTTAAATTCAGCCTCCCGCAACCGCAGTCTGGAGTTACCCAGTAAGGCGTGTTAACCAAAAGGTCCTGCGCAGGTGGCCCGACTGTGGGGTATGCAGAAGAACCGCCCCGCCATGAACTACGACAAGCTGAGCCGCTCTCTGCGCTACTACTACGAGAAAGGAATCATGCAAAAGGTAAAGTCCAACATTTCCGGCCCATTTTTGTCAGTCTAAGCGTCGGTCTGGCGCGCAGGTGGCGGGGGAGCGCTACGTGTACAAGTTTGTGTGCGAGCCCGAGGCGCTCATCTCGCTGGCGTTCCCCGACAATCAGCGGCCCAGCCTGAAGGCCGAGTTGGAGCGCTACGTCAACGAGGAGGACACGGTGCCGCTGTCCCACCTGGACGAGGGGGGGCCGCCCTACGTTGCCGCCGAACACCCGCCCCACGCCACCCAGCCCTATTCCAAAGCCTACATGTATTAAAAACGCAGCCCTCCGCTCCCTTGCTGTATCTCTGGCAAACGTCTTTGCGGCATTGAACCTCCCCTGACGATAAAACCTTCGTTGCGTGCTACGGGCAAAGAAAAAAAAGGGATGTGAACCAATTTTGCAATTTTCAGCAGTCGACGGTTAACTTTATTTTTGATGGCTCACGAGTAGTTCGAAAGCTGAGCCGTGATTGCTCGTGACGTGACCTCCAAATACGCGACGCCATTTTCAGTCGCCAGCAAGAGGCAAAACGCCTTTTTCCGGGCGCACGAAAAAGACTTGACTTTTTACTGCTGAAAATTGGTTAGCATCACTTTGAAGCATTTCCATGTGCTCCTCCTCCCTCCCCCACACTTGTATATACAGCTCTGGTGTTTTTGTGCTAACTTAATCTCACGAGGGAGTTTTATTAAGAGATGGCTTAATAAATACTTAGTAAATATGTATATATTTCAGAACCTGTCATCTTATTTTTCGTGTTTGAATATTACAAGAGAGATTTTACATTGGCCTTCAGAAAAGTGTCAAATGGAACGAAACTGTATCTGGGTTAAGGTTGCTGCGAGTGAACTATTAGTGGTGTGCTGCACACTCGTACAATCGGGAGCGTTGCGCACCTGAAGGTTGACCTGCACGCCTGTCGTCGTCATCATCCGGCAGCGCCACGGTGACTGCTTTGTCTTCAATTGTTGCTTGAATTTCACGCCACAAAATTACAAGGGAATCACATCATCAAGAAGGGCACCCGGGTTATCACGCAACAACACATCGTCTGCAGGTGCCATGTTGTCGCCATCTCCCTGTCTCCCCGATACCAGATCCCGATGCGAGAGGACAATCGACTCAGTGCATTGTGGGTAAGGCAATTTCTTCTTTCCGACCAACGGGGCGGGGGCAATGTAGAAAGCTATGATGTGAACCAGGGGTGCCCATTAAGTCGATTGCGATCGACCGGTCGATCGCGAGGGGTGTAGAGGATGAAAAACACATTTGTGTGTCTTTGTGCATGTTAGTAAGATATATATATTTTTTTCCAATCAGTGTCGTTTCCACAAAAAGTATTAAAAATAAAATAAAGCAGGTAAGTCTTGAACCTACGGTGCCGCGTGACCGGAAGTTGTGAGCGCTCAGCAGTCTGCTATTGCACAATGAGACGGAACAAATCACATTTTCATGCGTGTGCGCAAATCTTCGCATTGAGCCCAAAAGGGCCTACTTCCTTGGCATTTTAATATGAATTCTGAAGGAAACCTTTTAAAGTATCTCATTTGTCTCATTTCTGTTCACAGGCTTCCATCAAGAGAACGGCCGGATTGACAGAAAACGTCAGAATTGCCGTTTTTCTGGAAGCAAGGTATCATTATGAAAGATATCATGACTACTGTATACATGGTCGTTTTTTTCGGCCAAAAACGCCTTACGATACATGGTCGTTTTCTTTGGCAAAAAACGCCTTACTATACATGGTTGGGGTTTTTTGGGGGCTAAAAATGCCTTACGATACATGGTTGTTTTTTTCGGCCAAAAACGCCTGACTAGACATGGTCGTTTTTCGGCTAAAAACGCCTGACTTACATGGTCGTTTTTTTTGTGGTCGCATGTATTTACTCCATGACTTTTCATTCGATGGGTCCTCGGGTTACCGATACGATGGAATGCCCTTCCCGGGTTGGCCACGAAACCCAAATCATTATACTTATGCTGGAGCGAGTATTGAAATAATAATTACGGTGGATAATTGTAATAAGGGCACATCGGAGACAAGAAACAATGAAATAAAAACAGTTAATACGACGGTCACTGCACGTCCTGGTGCCACGTGACCATCGAGGCCATGTCACTTCATTGTGCGCCGTTCGGAACCTCGCGACGTATGTCGAGACCCTCGTAAAAACGACGAGAGTCCAATACTGTGTATTTCAGCCAACTGAGGGGGAAAAAATGACCACTTAGGTTGAGTATGATGGACTGTAAATGCCTCATATTACCCTGATCGTTCGTCCTTATAAAGCTCCGCTTATCACTTCGGATTTACAGAAGTCCAGGGTTGCAAATGAAGTTTGAAAGTTCATGTTTGATTTGAGAAATAACCGTGCAAAAGCTTTTGGTTTTGGTCGTTGTTTTACCTTGCCACTATTGCTTTTATTTTGAAGGGTGGAGGAAAATAAGTGTCGTAAATCATTATTAGCCTTTGACGTAAAATAATTGTCGCACAATTCCGATGGACAGAGAAGAAAGGTGCTCGAGGGTAAAAACAGACAAAACTGAAGGCGGTAAGTACCGTTAAACAATGAACGATTCCTTTGCGCCTGGTTGAGCTGGGAACGAGGTTCGCATGTAATGTTTGATTGTGGAATGAATTTCGCTTTATTTCACTTTGTTTTGTGATTTGCTGCTTTGTAAAGCTGTTTGGTTTTCATCCACTAGAGGGCGTTAATGTACCTTGATAAATCCGTAGCAATGCAAGAGCACAAGGTTTGATATTGTTTGCAATCATTCTGTATTTTCTGAATGGTTCATGTTATTTTATGGGATACACAAAGGCAAAGAGCAAGGTTGAAAAGATGTGCAAAACGTACCGTCGGAGCGAGTAATCGTATTTCATGTTTAGTTTGTCTTGTAGCTCTTACGGCGTGTTCACACAGTGGCTGCTGAAGCAAATGTTGCGGACCATCAGTTAGAGAGACCTCCTTTGATTCAACCGGAGATGCGACAGGCATACATGGGTTTTGTTTTTTAGATGACCTGCGGCAGCATTTGGATGATGAGGTGGGGAGACTGGGAAGAAGCGCAACAGCAGATGCCAGATCTGAGGTCCAGCGGTACCTGGCAGAGGGGAATATTATTGGAGGAACCAACACACTACTTTTCCAAACCTCTCCCACCTCGCAAAGGAGTTCCTCTGTACGCCGGCATCATCAGTACCATGTGAGCGTGTGTTCTCCACAGTAGGGGAAATAGCCTGCAAGGAAAGCAACAGACTCAAATTCCAAACAGTGTAGCAACGTATTTTTCTGAATAAATATTTTTGAAGACAAAGTCATTGATGTCAATTATATTGGAGACACTGTCATCAAATCAGTCTGTCAGGTGGGTTGCCTGCAGGGACGTTGAAAGTCCAGCAGGAGTCAGGATCCACACGGTGCATCATTGGGTCAACACGCTTCATGCCGCCTCATGGACCCATCACGAGAAAAAGTCACGTTGTTGGAGTTTTCCATGATCTTGCGGAAGGGCGTGCGGCGCAGCGGGTGAACGAGGACGAGCGGAGGCTGTCGAAGGTGAGAAAGAAGTCTTATTTTACGCAATGTTAATCACTTTGGGGCCGAAAGTCGAGCAATTTCCCGGGTAAGCCAAAGCAGTCACCCTGGCGAGTCAACGGGTGGCGCTCGTGTGCAAAACACCGTCGAACAAGCAGCGGTAGAAGAAGGTTGGCTCGGATTGGCCGACGTGACCAATGAATTGGAGTCAGGTGTGCAGGCGGGAAGAAATGGAGCGCGGTGCACAGGTGCGGCAAGATGGCGACCGACCACGCGGGCTTTTATTCGGTGAGTGAGCACAGGAGCAAATGTTTGTCGCTTGTCATCCTTTCTCACGATGTCCTTTTGCTTGTTGCCCCCGATTTGCAGGGTTGGAGGTTGGAACGCAGGACGCCACAATCCATTCGCCTTTCCCTTGATTTAGGTAGGACATTGTGCTCTTCGTTTCTTTTGGCACGTTTTCAACTTTTTTTGTTTGTTTTAAAGCTGGCCAGCTCTTTTACTCTTTTTGTTTGTTTGTTTGTTTTGTCTTAAATTGTTGCAAATTACAAAACCGATGTCTTTGTGCTTGGGAATTGAATAATGAAAGGTTTTGGTTTGTTTGTTTGACCAAATGTTTGAACATGGCATTTTCTGTCAGGTGGTACGCATTTATTTCTCTGATTCATAGGTCTGGTTTGATGAAGTTTACTTACTGTCTTGGTCAAAAATGTTTGGGTTTTTTCCCCCCTCACCCAATATGAGGAAGCCCAATTGCATGTCTAACCCCCCTCACTTCGCAGGTTATTCACCAAGGTCCTTCGCTGTTCTATAAACGTGAATATTATTGTGGAAGCCTGAATCGTTTCACGAATGCACATTTTCAGCCCTTTCTGCTCCAAACACAGCCCAAAGTACATCTTTATTCGTCCACTTGCGTGCTGCGAGAGGCAACAAGATCCATGAGGCGAGAGTAAGAAAACCAACGGTTTGAGTCGTGAAAAATGCAGAATACGAGGGTTTTTCATTTTTATATTTTTGCAGTGTGAAGTCGCTATTGGGGACTTAGAGCAGCATGAAGACGAGAACCGGACAAAAGCAGTCTGCGTGGTTTGGAGGGTGGAAGAGGAGCCCGATGAATTGGAAGAGCGTGCGGAGGTGACAAAACGCATGGCAATCGAATTAATGAGGGGCACCTGAAAAAATGTTTTACTTTTTGGGTTGCAGGG